CGTGACGTCACGCTCACCCCCCCCTCAGGGCGCCTCCGCCGCTCCCCCGCCAAATTCAACTGTCGCCTAGGCAACAGGCGCCCCTGCAGAGGCACCACCCCCTGTATTTATACCATCTATAGAGGGTGGTGGCAGAGGCCGCGGGCGCCCCCCCCCCGCCGCTCATTGGCCGGACGCTCCTAACGGCTTTCCTGGCGACGGGCTGGTTCGAAGGGACGTCAACGGGTGCCGTTTGAGCGCTCCGCCTTCCCGACGCCAGGCGGCGCCCTCGACATGACGCGGGAGGTCCCTCGGACGTCGGCACTCGCCCTGACTTCCGGTTCGAGGGAGCCCGGCGCCGGAAATGACGGAGGAAGGATCGGCCGGGAGAAGCGGAGCTTGGCGCAGAGCCGACCAATGAGAGAGGGCCAGGAAAAGAGGGGGCGGGGCGGGGCTCCCGCCGGATGTCTGGCCGCGGCAGACCTGAGGCGCCGGAAGCGGGAGCGGGCAGAGGGGCTCTTTCACAAGTCCCTCCCATTCCATATCTGTGCCTTTGGTTTTTTGTAAGGTAAAGGTAAAGGGTTTCCCTTGCTCGAAAGCCAGTCGAATCCGACTCTAGGGTTGCGGTGCTCATCTCCGTTTCCAAGCCGAAGAGCCAGCGCTGTCCGAAGACATTTCCATGGTCATGTGGCCGGCATGACTAAACACCGGGGCGCACGGAACGCTGTTCCCTTCCCACCGAAGTGGTACCTATTTATCTACTTGCCATTTCTTGTTTTCGGACTGCTGGGTTGGCAGGAGCTGGGGCCAGCACCAGTGGGGCTTGGCTGCTGGCCTCTCTCCGTGTCCATTGGAGAGTATTTGGGGACTTCGGTCCTCATCACCTGGCCTTAGACGGGGGGTGTGTGTGTGTGTGTCAGGCTTAGCAAGCCGAGGCCATGACACTGAGACAGAAACCTGCATAGACAGCCTGTGCCCCCCCCCACCCCAAGGAAGAGCCACTGCTGTGCCAGAAGACGGATGAGGCTGCAGGTCTCTAGGGACGAATGGATCCATTTGGCTCCCAGAGTGCTCGAGGTGGGATTATCAGGTGGCTTTGCAAGACATCTCTGTCTCTGACGTCGCTCTTTACATTTGCAGCTCTCCAGGGTCGCTGGCACTCTGGGTCCTGGGCGCTGTCTTCCCGGCAGGAGAACTCACTGTGGGGCCTTTCCCGGGGTGACTGCCCGCATTGTCCATCCTAGCAGCCTCTGCACACGGTTTTCCAGGGGTGTTGATCAGGTGGTCCCCTGGAAAGGCTCATAACCCCACAGTGTGTCTCACGCGCCACCCATCTCTTTTCCCATTGACCCAGGGACTGCGGCAAATTCCTTGAACATCCATCAGGACACCTTCGCAAAGAGCTGCTGAGCAGGGTAGCTGAAAGGGCCAGCGACAGCCCTGCGAGAGCCGCTAGGACCGGTTTTTGCTCTGAGCGGCTGCTGTGGGAGCGGAGAGTGTGACCCAGCAGCCAGGGAGGTCCACTATCCACTCTGGCCAGAGTCTTGTAACTCCTACCACGGCTCTGGCTGGACTAATGCCATGAAGCAAAGTTCAAGTCCAGTCGGGCACCTTTAAGACCAACAGAGTTTTATTCAAGGGATGAGGTTTCATGCACGCGCACACTTCCTCAGATAGGTGGTGTGAGTGGCTCTTTGTGTGGTGCCGCCCTTGAAGGCTGTTGAGCTAATGCAGAAGGCCAAGGCCTGCTTGTGGATGAGCACAGCCTACCCTGGACACTCGTTTTTCCCTTGAGGTGTGTCTGCAGGGCTAACTTCCATCCACTTCCTGCTCTTCTTAAAGGCCCGGCTCTCCTCTCTGGACCACGCATTCTCTCAAGAGGAAGGCAATCGGCGCAATAAGAAATGCAGAAAGTAAAACGGGCTCCAAACTCTTTGCTGTTTTTAAATCAATTATGTACAACAATGATGCTTGAATGCAGTGTTCCTTCTAAGCTGAGTTAGGGTGAGCTAGCTCACAGTTTTTTAACCTCTGGCTCACGCATTTTTGTCTTAGCTCAGGAAGGATGGCTCCAGAGCAAATTAATTTATGCAGTAGCCAAATCGCTCACTCACAACTTGAATGCCAATCGCTTGCAAAGCAGAATTTTTGCTTGTAAGACTCCACAGCTTAGAGGGAACATTGCTTGAATCTATTAGTTAGGCACTTCCTTAAAAAAAAAAAAAAAGCATAGTGTGGTTACTGTGGCCATAAAGTATATTGATTTTAAATCAAAGCCTACACACAAGCTTAAATATTTAACTTAATATTGTTACTATTTTAGAAAATCATTGCATCACGTTCTCTGCCTCGTAACTCAGAGGAAGAGGATCTGTTTGCATGCTGTGGGGAAATGCCCTCCATCCTCGAATCACTTCAGTGTTTTATACTTGGGATTGTACGCTGTATATGCTCCGGAGACTGCAGTGTTGGCAAAAGACTGACAAGCAGAAAACTGCAGCTGAGTCATCTGTCACCCAAGCACAGAGCACTCCAGCGCTTAGTTATGCAAATGGTTCTGGCTAAGGAAGAACAAAAGGCTTAACATATCACACCTTGCTGGAATGTCATGCCTAGAGGGGCAGCAGGCAGGGACAGCCAGAAGGCCAGACAGGAATTTCTTCCTCTAGAGGCGGGAAGATCAGGACTGATCGCAGAGGGGGATGGACTCCTAAGGGCAAATTATAAATCTGAAATCCCTCCTGTCGTGATGTCAGTTCCTGGTCTGAAAGAGGAAGTGAGTCCCAGCAGCCTCTGCCCAAGTGCTCTCAGCAGGGTGGCAGGACCGTGCTGGGCAACCAGGAGGAGGATGGGGATAGCGCCACGACGCGCACAACACTGGCATCGCCCCCCCCTCCCCCGGGGAAACCCAGGTGTGACTGTGTCTTGGTTTCCCCTGGAAGTGATGTTGGGGCTTCAATCTGCCCCACCCCCGAACAGGGACATTGCCCAGCGACATCCCTGACACGATGACATCACTGGGAAATGACGTCATTGCATCGGGGTGGCTCTCTAGTTTTTGGGCAAACTCTATGGTGTTGAGGGCAAAAGAGAAGATCCCCCCCCCCAGCAGCTGACAAGGACCCGGCAACCCTAGTCACACGGCACGTACCAGTGTCCCCTCTAAGCTGAGTGAGTGTGAGCCAGCTCACAGTTTTTTAGCCTCCGGCTCACACATTTTTGTCTCGGCTCAGGAAGGAGGGCTCCAGAACACACTATTTTATGCAGTAGCCAAATCATTTGCTCACAACTTTAATGCCAGTAGCTCACAAAGTAGAATTTTTGCTCACAGGACTCTACAGCTCAGAGGGAACATTGGTTGGCCCTGGTCAGTGTTTGGATGGGAGACCATCAGGCACGCAGAGGCAGGAAATGGCAAACCACCCCTGAGCCTCTTTTGCCTTGAAAACTCTACGGGGTTGTCTGCCGTGACTTAATAGCCATGGTTCCATTACGTGCAGGTTTCATTTTATCCAGGCTGGGTTTTTTGTTGTTGTTGTACTTGTTCAAAGGACACATTATTGCTAAAACTTCAAGTGGCAAAAATCCAATTTAATTAAAAAATCAAATTTAAACCAGATTTTTTAAAATAACTTTGTATCCACCCTGCAGGGCAGTGGAGCCCAGTTCTCTCCGGCACAAGCCCCTTCCCACCCCCCGACCCTAAACGGAGCCCAGCCCCCTGTTCAGTGAGACACACCACCACCCCGACCCGTGGCATCTCCACGCTGTGTGGCCTGTTCGCCAGCCCTGAGGGGAGCGGGAGGCTGCAGTGACCCCTCCTGCCCACCAGGAGGCAGCTCGGATCTCTCCCGCTGAAGCCCCGTATGCACAAGAACCCCGTCGTCCATGCTCGCCGCTCAGAAGGCTGAGCCTCCTTTGGAGGAGAGAGGCTGAGGCTGTTGCGGTTGGGAAATTCAGGGGTGGGGGTGGTCAAATGCTTAAGGACGCAACCCACAAGCTGCTCAAGATGGGGCCTCCTCCCCTGGCAACCAGCCAGCTGCAAAGACCCTTTTCATGCCAGTTTTATACTAACCAAAGAACTAAAGGGGAGCTACGAGCCTAATCTTGAAAGCCTTAGGCAGGCGAGGCCCAGGATACTTGGGGAGAAGCGTCTTCTTCCATGTGACTCTACCTGTCGGCCAAAGCTCTTCCCCAGAGACCCCCCCATCTGTACTCCCCACCACCACCACACACACACACAGGCAACAAGAGTCAGTGGTCCACCCAGGGGAGTCCGGCTCCCCCCCTTCTTCCGGTCCAGGGCTGGGCAGTGTCCCTAGAGAAGGGCTGGCGCAACGGATCCCCCGTTTCCGCCAGGGACTTTGCTCTTTCGACAGATTTTTGTGGTGCTTGCCAGATACTCTGTTTGCATTGTTATGTCATTGAGTTGGCATGGCCCATTTTTATGGTTGTGATCTGTGGATGTGACTGTGGTAAACTAAAGCGCAAGACAGAGACACTTATAGATTGGGGCTAAGCCAAAAAGAGAGGCTCATTGTTACAAACACATCAACCAGGGCCAAAATGCAGCCCGCCCCTTTTGTTGATTTTTCGGGAGACCAAAGTTCTCAGCCTTTCTACCACCCACCCTTTCATCCGCTTCCCTTGGCCCCCAGAGTGCCAGCACAGCACCACCAAATCTGACGGGCTACGTAGCGTCATGACGACCTCATCCATCGCATGATCTCAGTTCTCTCCAATTGGCTGAGGATCCGTCTCACAAAGAACAAAAAGCCCTAAATGGTAAAGCAGCTGCAGAGGAAAGCGACAGCAGCAAAAAAGAGCTGCTTTTTTTTTTTTAAAGGCTCCTGCCTTCCAGGGGACATGTCTCTGCCACTGAACGCTGCTTGCTTTTGACCTGAGAATCAAAAAGGGCAAACACCTGGGAGTAGCGCAGCAGGCATGTCCCAGTCTTTCCCAGCAAGAGAATGTGCAAGGGGAGGGGGGGGCGCTCTCTCTCGTGTGTGTGTGGGGGGGACTTGACACGAAGACGGTGGCGGCAGTCGAGGGGCCACACGTCTCTCTCGGGCGCTAGGAGTGCAGAGGCAGCCCCAGCGCGGCTACTCTAGTGTGGAAAGCGGAGGTGCTGAAAGAGCGCCAGGATCCCCCCTTGGGAGGGGAAAGCCAAGCCCATATTAGAGGAAGTGCAGCAAGGAACCTGGACTCCCGGGCTCCCTTGGCCCCACAACGTGAGCAGGAAGGCCGGCAAAGGCACAGGCAAGATCCAAGTCTCCACGCCAGGCCCCCCCCCCCGGGGCACTCAGCACCAGCTGTGGCTCGGCTGCATGAGAATCAACAGCAGAGCATTTGGCCTGGCATGCAGAAAGCCCCCACCCCACCCCACCCCCCGGTTCAATCCCTGGCAGCAGCATCTCCAGTTAAAACGGGGCAGGTAGTGGACTATGGGGAAGGCCTCTGCCTGAGACGCTGCCAGTCAGAGGAAGGGATTGCGTGAGGGTCTGACTCGTTAGAAGCCAGCAGGGGCGGCAGGAAGGGGGCTGGGGAGGGACCAGCAGGAAGGCTGGAAAGCTAGGAAGAACGGGGTGGCGGTGGGGGGCTGAGCCACAGGGAGAGGCCACCGGCCATGTCGTACACGCACCAGAAGGTCAGCACGCACGGGCGGGTGGAGGGAACCTCAGGCAAGCCCTGCTGGGTCAGACCAGTGGGGGTCCCTCCAGTCCAGCCTCCTGCCCCACAAAGTGGCCCCAACCTGTTCCTCTGGAGGTAGACGAACAGGGCAGAGAGGCTGAGGCCTTCCCCTGAGGTTGGCTCCTGGCCCTGGGAATCAGGTGTTGACGTCCTCTGAAAGAGGAGGTTCCCTTTAGTCACCATGGCCAGGAGCCACTCGCCAACGACGTGTCCTCCGTGGGTCTGTCTAATCTCCTTTTAGAGCTGTCTGTGCCTGCGGCCATTGCTGCATCCTCTGGCAGCCAACTCCACTCTGCAATCACTCGCAAAGGCCTATTCCCTTTTTCCTTTGGGAAGCCCCTGTGCCTGGTGGGCCGCTGTCCCGGAAGGAGGTACGCTTGCAGCTGCTCTGCGGCATCTCCTCCCCCGGCTCCCACAGCCACGCCTGCTCTGCATGCGGTGGGGGCCCCAAGTGGGGTGTCCAGGGCTCAGCTGGGCATGCAAGGCGTGAACACCCCCAACCCCACTCCCAGCAAGAGAAGCCAGTAAAGCTCCTCGGCTTCATTTTTTTTAATAAGTCACAAAATGTATAAGTACAACAACAAAGATTCCACACTGAGAGGACACAAGACCCGTTTCACAGAAAGGTATCTCCCCCCCCCAGCCCTGCTTCCCATTCTGAGGGCCATCAGGACGCGGGGAGGGGTGGGGTGGGGTGGGGGACAGCCAGTGCATGGGAAGGCAGGGGGGCGAGCAGACTGCGGAGAGACACACGGCCTCTGTCCAAAGCTGGAGAGAACACCGTCTCGTGGGGGAGCCTTCCGAGAGATCTCAGCCTGTTCGGGACGGGAGACTCCCTCCCCCCCCCCGCCCGCATCTGCACATTCCTTCACATTGACCAGTAGTCCGAAGAAGCCAGGCAAGGGGGCAGCAGCAGCAGAACGGGCTGCAGGGACTGGCGCGTGGAGGTAGCCGGGGGGACGGGGACTGGGCAGTTCTGTGGTTCCCGGTGCCGGTGGACGGGGGAGGCCTGCCTGCTCTCGACGGGTGCAGTGGGGGGAGGGGATTCCGGGGAGGGGGAGCGGCAGCCTGGCAGGTGGCCTACCAAGCACACAACACACGCCGTTGTC